TAGTTTATTTTCTGCAGGTTGGTGAGGAGCAGAGACTGTGAGACGGCCGGCTCTCTGATGACCTTCTTCCTCGTTCTGGGTCTGGCTGTGGGAGCCTCGTTCTCATTCCTACTGGGAAATCTGGTTTAGACAAAGTCCACGTAGAAACCCAACATTGGATCAGGACTTTTATATTCCTCTTTGCTCATGTTTGCTTTATATGTACATATCGCTTTTTTTTTATGACTGTAACATTCTTGCATTATCACTTTTTTATACCATTTTTTATAAATGTTTAACTGTAAACATTTCTAGCATTAAAGTTTTGTATTTACCATACAAATAATTATTTACCATAATTGTTTGTGTGGTAAATACAAAACTTTAATACAAATAATTATTCGTATTTACCATAATTATTATGGTAGATAACAATTAGCATATTAATTATGATTTACCATAATAAATAATATTATTTATATTAATTGCATAATTACCATACATACCAACCTCACAATCGCCCCCTGCTGGTAACATGAGGTGACTGTAATTCGCAGCTAATAAAAAAAATAATTGTTTTCTAACAAAGAACAAAGAATCATTCTTCATTAATCTGTAGACTTTTTCCCCCCTACTTATTTATATTTTGATGCAATGAATTTATGTTTTATGGTTTTTAAAGGGATTTTTGTGTGAAGGGAATTTATTGTTTGAACATCTACATTTGTCTTTTACAAAGACCTTGTTGATGTTTTCTATGGTTTTTTGTAATGTAGTATACTTAATGTATATTTATGCACTCTGTTTTATGCAACTTATCCTTTTTCATTAAATAGTTTTTTACATGATCTGAAGTAGTTTTTGTCATTTTTAATCTTTTTGTATCAAAGTTTTTTGTGGGGTTTTTTTTGTACTTGCTCAATTAAAATATAAATATAAAATGGTAGCGTTAGAGTTTGTTGCTGAATATTAACATGTTATGGCGCTAATTGTGGTGAGCGCTGATTGTCCTGCTGGTTTGAGCATGAGTGGAGTAACGGCGCCATCTAGTGGTGGGATTTTCGACCCTTTTAGAATCCTGTTCCCTTTATAGTTGTGCTGCCATCGTTTGTAATTCTTAATTTGTTCATTATATTCAGGTAGTTTTCATATTGTTTTTATTTAGACGTAAGGAGTTAAAAAACTAATGATTATTTTAATAATTGAGAGATTAAATAAAACTGGTACTTATATATATATATATATATATACATATATATATATATATATATATATATATATATATATATTTTTTTTTATTTTTTATTTTTTTTTTTTTAAACAAGTTGAACAAGATGAAATAAAAAATGCTAAAAGATGAATTTTGGGTAGAACATAATTACAGAAAATGATTATTTTTTTTATCTTAAATGCAAAATGTGTATATTTTTTAGCACAATTTTTTGCTTAATTACTTTTCTGACTTTGTTGTTAAAGAAAAAGAAAGTAAGAGCAAATATCCTTCCATTTGCACAGCATCCAGAACCAGAGAGAACAACTGTCCGAACGTGCAAAGTGTAAGCCGCCAAAAACAACCAACTAAACAGAGCAACTCCACCATGTTGCCAAAACGAGCAACACAGTTCTAGGATCAGGTTTAGTTGCGTCACCGTTGCATCTGAGCAGCACTTTGCCTCCACTGACCGTGTTTCCTCTCCCAGAGGCTCGGCCCTTTCCTTTAGCCAGGCTTCCTCCCATTCTTCCACTCTGTGGAAAATAAAAAGAGAAAATTCAGAGAGCGCTTCTGACTTTCACTAAATCACACCAAGTGAAGCCTTTCTACCACAATTAGGAGAGAATTTCCTTTATTCTGTTTCCCGCCCGGCTGCACAGTTGGTGAGTACTTCTGGGACTTAAATCCCGCTTGTTTTTAAAGAAGCTCTTATCAGATTTCTTAATATTCCTGCTGACATGATTACTAAATATATTACTTTCCATTGAAATGACAGCAGATTGCTGAGTTTAGTGTGCAGATCCAAGTTGTTACTGTTTCCTCTGTTTTTCACACAAACCCCTCTGAACGTTTAGTAAAGTTTTAAGGTGAGTTTAGTTCAGTGTCAAGTACTGAGAAAATGATTTATTGCTTGCATTTTTTGACTAAATAAATCTTAAACCCTGACTGAAGATTAACTGTAGATGAATTATAGTCTGTAAGTGTTGTTTTAAAACCCTTTTTTCTGCAATAGTGAAACTCACATGTTATTTTTTATTTGTTTTGGTCTTCATGAAACCAGATATTTGCATTTCTCACTGTTTGAAGTTGAAAATGGCCAAACTTTTCTTGTTTTAGCTTAGTTAGAATTACCAAAATTATCTTTACTTGCTAAATGCCAGAAGCTTAGCAAGAATATTTTCTAGAGATTTTTTTTTGTTGTTGTTGCTACTTTTCTCAAATTCAAAAATGTACATTTGGTCAGAATGAGGGATAACTGTCTTTCAGAATATATGATTTGAATCAAATCTTTTCCCACAAATTTCTCACCTTTGACAATTCTAAGCTAAAACAAGAAAAGTTTGGTCGGATTTAACTTCAGACAGTGAGAAAAATGTGTTTGTGTCTAGTTTTACCTTTACAAATGTTAATAAACAACTGAAGACTCACATAGATGTCACATTGATTCTTATCCCAAGAACTGGTGTCAGACTGCTGCATCCTTCGTGCACAAAGGAGCGTTATCGCAGGTCCTTCCCCCCACCTGCAACTTTATATCAGAAAAACAGAAAAAACACTCGGATTGCATCTTTAAAAGCTCAAAATGGGCATAAGATTCATGTCCATGATTATACTTTTAATCAAAGGTTTGAGTTTTGTTTTTATGCGCTGCCTGTGGATTATTCACAGCCTCTTTTTTATGAATCTGAGAAACAAATGAAGTTGTGAAACTTCCTTAGCGGGAGCCTGAGGAGGAGTTAGCGCCTGACAATGAGCGCATTTCTTAATGACCTGGCAGAGAAAGGCATGTGGGCGCAGCTGATGATCAGAGCTGCGCTGTGTGTGCTGGAGGGTAATCGGGCAGCTTGAAGCTTTCCGTCAGTGTTGATTCAGACCTAAGCGACGTCACAGCCAGTCAAACTGAAGCTGCAGCTTATTGCTCTGCTGTTTGCTTCCTGCAGATGAAAAATGGCTGAATCACACAGGGTGACAGCGCAGGGCAGGAAGGTAAGTTTGCACACCTGACAACAAGCAAGTAGGAGTTAACAATTAACCAGAGCATTAAATAAGTTTCTAAAAAAAAACTTTCTTCAGTTTTGTGAATGTAGCTGGAGTTCTCTGGTGGCAGGTAATGTTTGAACTTTTTACTTGTTTGAGTTTTCTAAAGCGATGGGAACCTGCTTTTGTTCCCAGTCGCATCAAGTCATCAAGAATATGCAAAAGATCCTTTTGAAAACTATCAAAATAAAAGCTTCGTTTTAACTTTGCAGGTTAGAAAAGCGCATTTTAAACCACTAACATAAAAAATAACGATCTATTATTAATTTATCTGCATATTTATACTCCCTCCTCTTTTTATTTATTTTTTATTTTATTTTTTCTAGATGAATTTAATGCCCTCTTTATTTATTTGAATGTAAATTTTCCGTTTCATATTTTCATAAGCTCAATAAATATATTGGAGAAAAAATAACGGTCTAGTTAAAGACAATTGTGTCTCACAAGATTTGAAAGCGGTCATATTAATTTCATGACATTTCATGTTGAGAAAAGAGTCCTGGATTCTCCAAATTGTTGAAATTAAAGAGATATCCTTGTCAATGAATATTAAAAACACTCACTGATTAAAACAAAACAACAACAAAAAAACACCCAGAAGGATTTTTGTAATTTTTTACACTAGTCGTATGATTCCCAAAGAGAACAGGCATCGGAGGACACCAGCTGTTTGCACAGTGAATGTACTGCAGCAGGCAGTTGCTGAAGCACCTGACAGTCGCAACAACAAAGTGATCGGATTATAACTTCATAATTCAGTCGAGAAAATTCCACCACTTTCACACAAACACAAAATGCGACCGGGATCAAACTCCTTCAAGGCTCGTAATGCGGTGAAATGAGGAATCTGACTGTTGGATGGTCCTGCAACTGCCTGAGAATCACTTTACCTGCCACTACACCGTGTATGTCCTCTAAACAGCTCTGTGCAAACCTAATTATTTAATACTGTTTGCTGGTTCTACATTAACATCCATATCCAGAGGAGGGTAGAGTATCCGGAAATATTACTCAAGTAAGAGTAGCACTACTTTGACATATTTTACTCAAGTAAAAAGTAGGAATACTCAAGTAAGAATAAAAAAAGTATTTTGTAAAAAGTCTACTCAAGTTCTGACTAATTAATCAAATTACCAGTCATTTAATATTTAAAAAACTATAAAGTTATGTGGAAATTTTGTTATTTTATAGATCAAAATTACAATAATTCATATCAAAAATGTCATTACAAAACAAAAAAAAATCAGGCAAAATATTTTTTTTCCCAAATTAATTTCTTTCAATAAAAATACTGATGAAACTAACAAAAACTCAGGTGTGTGTCTGGTGAATGTTTGGCTAAAACATGTTTGTTTTGCACTCAGTAGAAAATCCAGAAGCTTTACTAAAGTAAGAGTAGAGATTAGTGGTGCACGATATATCGGCACTAGTATCGGTATCGGCAGATTATTTTTTTAACATATTGGGATCGGTTTGGTAGATAAAACCAGGCCGATATTAACAAACAATATTTGTTTTTGTTTCCAAAGGTGTTGAAACGGTAGAGAAATATATTGGTTATCATACATAACAGCTGTATTAAAATTGGATATCAATAACAGCCTAATTTTTCATATTAGTGCATCCCTAGTAGCGATACTTCATAGTAAAATTACTCAAATAAAAGTAAAAAGGACAGTGTAGGAAAAATACTCCAAGTATTTTTTTTCTATAATGTTACTCAAGTAAATGTAACTTGTTCTTGCCCAACTCTGTTCATATTCTCAGTGTTTTGTTTTGTTGTTTTACATTTTTCCTCAGATGTAACAGACAAAATCTCCACTGAAGACTGAAGATCTTTAAATACGTTACAAAATACTTTTTAAATGTATTTCCTCTTGTTGCCAAAGCTGAAAATGTAGATTAGATCCTAAATAAAAGCATCCATCCTTTTCACTTTAAAATAAATGTCTAACAAAGTTGACGCCTGAAAGCTTTTATTTTGAATTCTAAGCGTATGTAATCAAACTTCCCGCTTCTCTGCAGTTCGGCACATGGCAGTCACAGGACCGGGCTTGTTACATCACTTTGTGAACTTAGTACCCAGTACGCAAAAACAGATTAAACAGATTAAAATGTTTTCTCCACACATAGAAACATATTTGCAATTAAGTACAACAGTTAAAAAATAGACTATATTTGGTCTCCTTACAAAAAAAGAGTCCAAAAAAGTTATGATGCATTTTTACATTTTCTTTCAGAAATGGAGTTTACCACAGAGACCCGAGACGGATCAGAACAAATTGGCATCTCGATGTCCGGATGGAGAAGCTGAAAGAAAACTGGTAAAAAAAAAAAATAAAAAAAAATGATGAAAGCAACACATGTAAACCCAGGAGACAAATAAAATTATAAAAATTAATTTCTTCATAAAAAGTAATGTTCTGAAAGAATATTTCATTGTAGATTTTTTTCCTTTCATAATACATCAGTTTACGCTGCAAAAACACAAAATCGTCCCAAGTATTTTTGGTTTAATTTCTAGTGTAAATTTCTTAGTACACTTTAAATATGACAAACTAACTTAAAAATAACTTTTTAGCAAGATATAGAGACTTGTTTTAAGTAAATAATTTCTTATTATTGACAAAAAAGTGCTTGTTCCAGTGGCAGATAAATTAACTTGTAACAAGGGAACATGTCCTATCATAAGTGAAATAATCTGCCAATAAAACAAGTACATTTCTATCAATAATAAAGAATTATTTACTTAAAATAAGGCTCTGTATCTTACTGTAAAGTTACTTGTAAGTTTGTTTTGCCTTATTTCAAGTGTGCTAAGATATTTGTATTAGAAATTTGAAGAAAAAAAAACCTTGGTAAGATCTTGTTTTTGCAGTGTAAACTGTGGGAGCATTAATGATTGTTTCCTTCTTGGCATTGTTTTAACACACTTAAATATCACCTGGTCAACAAAATGTGAAAACCTCCGCTTCTTTTAAACCGATTATTAATTGTTGATGAGTAATACAGTGTGTTTGTTATCAACTTAGTACATTATAGTGCATGTTAGAGGTGATATGGACTTAACGTTTAATCACAATATTTGTTCAGAACTGTTTGGGTAACGATAAATCAGAACTGTTTTCTCTCTCTTCTAGGAGCACAGCAATCACAGACCCACAAATACAAAGACTGCTTTTGAAAATCATTCCCATTTATCTTTAGGACACCAAAACTTATTCACAAAAGAAGTGTGACTTTTATCACTAAACTCCACACAGTAATGGCATTTAGTCACATTTTCACATTTATTTAATGATGGAGGTCAGTAAAAACAGCAACTCCAACACTACGGAAAGTTTTGAGGAGTTTTAAACATCATTAGTTGGAAGTCATTGTGACTATTATAAATTATAAATGATACATTAAATACCCATCTGTATAGCAGAGCTTGTCTTTTGAACCATCTAACATTTTATTTACCTAGTCCTGATAGTTTTTTAATGTGAGATTCTGATGATATTGTGAAAAATTTGCTGTTTTATCAAAAGCTAAGATGAATTAAAGATAAATCTGTAAATGTGTTTTTTCTGCTGGTCTCTTTGATAAAATCAGCTTGAATTTAATTTATTTAATTTCCGGTTCAAATCTCTCTTAAAGACATTTGAAACACACCAGCACGTTTCATTGAAACATGATTTTAAAAATTATTAAAACGATTACATTGTTAATTCATTTAATTTCCCTTTAGGATTGATAAATTATTGCTGATTTAACACCTTGAAGTCCCATGCCCAGTCCAAAGAGATGCACAACGTAAATTGTCTCTCTGTTGCCATGGAAACATTTTGTGTTTCCAGGAAGTTCCTTTCAGAGGTCAAATCTCCGGCGGGCTGCAGCCAGGGAAGAAGGTGATCGTGGTTGGGCTGGTGGATCCGAGTCCAGATCGGTAAAAATCTGGTTATTTAAACCTTATCTTGTTTGTTATTAACTAGTTTTCTTTTAGATGCTTTTAATGTGTAGTACTTTTTGTTTAATTGGTAGTAGAGGTGTAAAAAGCCTCTCTGTGAAGGAAAAGTTTAAAACAGACCAAACTTTCTTGTCGCACTGTAAAACATTTGAAGGTGGTTTAACTTGAAAACAAAAGTCCACTGCTGCTTTGAAATGTAATTTAAGTCAACAAGAAAATTGTTTTGGTTTTAACTCAGAAATTAAAGTTCATGAAGTTGATTTAACAAGAGACAAGTTGTCTAAACATTGTTTTTTTAAGTTCATTAATGTTGAATTGTGAGTTTTAACTTAATGCTGCAATTTAAACCAAATAATTATTTGACAATATGCAAGAAAAAAAGACATCAGTAAAAGTTTTACATGTTTTCTACTGTATTATTGCCACTGGGATTGTATATCCTGTCTGCTTAATGGCCGCCATACTTCTTCTTCTCTCCAGGTTCTACGTCGCTCTGACTTGCGGCCGCGGGTCCAGGGAGCCGCCACCCAACGTGGCGCTGGAGCTCTGCGTCCGGTTTAAAGACCGACAGGTCCTGCGGAGAGCCTGCGTTTCGGGATCCTGGGGCGAAGTGGAGAGAGCGGTTCCTTTTTTCCCTTTTATCAAGGATCAGCCCTTCAAGGTACCAGAATCTCTGCAGAAACCTGACGCTGTCTTTTGCAGTACTTGTGGCGGACATTTTGTAACTTTCATAAAATGTTTTTTACATATTTGTTCAATCTGTCACCATGTTGTAACATGAGACAGATAATCTGTGAAAAAAATTGATCTTCAATGCCTTCCCCCAGTGCTAACTAGAAACAACCAATCAGAGCTAGGAGAAGGAGGGTCTTAGTGCTGTCAATCATCTTTGTGTATGTGCTGCTCACATCCTTCTCCTTTCTCTGGTTCACCACAACGGAGCATGTGATGAATGCTCAGGCTAGTTAGCTTGGCCACCAATGATGGCAGATAAATGGTTTTTCTGGAATGCACATTGAGCAGCATGCACACGAGGGTGATTGACAGCACAAAGTCACTCTTTCTGGCCCTGATTGGTTGTTTTTGAGTGGGAACAGTGCAGTGTTCCTCTGAAATCAATTTTTCCACAGATTATCTGTTTCATATTGATCTGTCACAACTTGGTGACGGCTTCAACAAATATGCAAAAACATATTTTGTAAAAGTTAAATGACGTTAAAATATTGTAACGATAAAAAGACAACATGAAGCCCAGAATCCCACTGGAATAAATAGTGAATTTAGAGAAACGAGTTATTTAATGCAGATATAAAATGCCTGAAGTGAAGCTGATGAGCTGCTTATTATTATTTTTTGTCTGAATTATTTCTATAAATTGTATATTTAAAATCATCATATTAGCAGGTGGCAGTTTTTCCTGAGTTTAAACGATTAATCAGATGAATCACTTATTGAAATAATTGTCAACTGATTTAGTGACTGATTATTTGGTAACTGCAGCATACAGACTCAAAAAAACAAGCAAAGATATCTGGAGCTGTTTTGAGTGGATTGTAGGTGCTGTGTTCATAGGGAACTGAACTGAACCTGTTGTTCCGTCTGCAGATTGAGATCCACTGTGAACACGGCAGATTTCGGGTGATTGTGGACGGACAGCAGCTGTTCAGCTTTCAGCACAGAGTTCTGCCGCTCAGCCACGTCGACACTCTGTGGATCAAAGGCAGCTTAAAAATCACAAAACTTGCCTAAAACTAAAGACTTTTAGACTTTTACACTTCAGAAGATCGCAGACGTTTATATTTATTCAGAAATGCTTTTATATGTGTTTAAAGTTGTTTTACTTTTGGGATGCTTAGTTGATGTAGTTTTTTTGTTTTTACTCACTTCAATCCTATTTTTATTTGGAAAATAATAAAAATAATAATTAGCTCATGTTTTCTCTCAAAATTACAGTTTCATTGATTTTTTAAATTATTTTACGTTCAACTTTGGCTACAAACATTATTATTTTATGTTTTATTCAATCATAGTTCATGAACACTACGTACTTTCTGACTTTACAAATTAAACTGAAACTTGACTGTTAATATGAAGACATTGTTGGGTTTACTACCTCAGTCCAGCTATCCACTACTAAATTAGATTTCTTTACTTTTAAATGTAAGCTCTTTGTTTTATTTCATGCAATTGCACTATAAAGTTAGTTTTGATGTTGCATTATAGGAGACTCAGGTGAAAATGGTCATTCTTTGCACAAATTTCAATGTGTGTCATGTCTTTTTTTGTTTTGTAAAATAAATAAATGATTAAATGTCTGTTTCTGAGTGGATAAAATACTGTTATTATAACATATTCTGTTTATGTTTTTAAACAATAATTAAACTTTCCATGTAATGTACACTGAAACAATATGTTCTGCTTCAATACTTACTTCATCGGTCTTCAGTAACTTTTGATGGTGTTCTGAGCTGCTAGGTCTCTTTTTTGGACATGCGACAAACTGTAGAAAACAGAAAATTAAATGTTGAATTGAATAATATACGTCCTTTAAATATGCTCAAAATGTAAATATTTTTTATTTTTTTCTGTTTTTCAAGGTGGTGCAGTTTGCAGCAGAGTCTTTTATATTTTCATCCTGATGAAACATTTTCAGGGTTTTGCAGACTGCATGTCTTTGTGATGTAAAGCACACAACAGGAAATGTGCAACAGAGAAACTGGTGCGTAATTACGACGGCATGTTAAGCTGTTGTAGATAGAAATAAAAAAGATGCACTTTTTTTGCCAAAACCTTTTGATTAATTAAAAAATTTATCTCAGAATTTCACAGTTCTTTGGTGGAAATTTGCTCCTTTTTTTTCTATCTACAATGACCCAAATGCGGCGTCTGAGCGGAACAGAAATGTTAACATGAAATCAGTTTCTGATCAACTGGAAATACCCAGTACACCGGTTTGGCCAGCAGGCGGCAGTAGACAGATTTCGCACTTTTAAATTGATATTTAAACTAATGTTCCGGAGATGGCGTCACAACTTTAACCCAATGAAATCTCAAGACAGAGTCATAAATAAAATCTATAATAATTTTTATATATTTGTTTTCTCTTTCTCTTCTCATCAACTTATTCTGTTGTGTTATTGTTTTTGTACAGAACTATGGTGAACTTTTAAACCTGTTTTTAAAAGTGCTTTATAAATAAATTTGACAAATTTGACATTATTTAAAGTGTACGAAGATATTTGGAATAGAAACTAGATAAAATCTTGGTAAGTTTTTGTGTTTTTGAGCTTTGCTGCTCTGTCAATATATTAAGCAATGAAATATTGTTGTTTTATGTTCTGTTCCTCAAAAAAAAAGCATAGGGAGTATCCCTGGTTATTTAATAATTTAATTGTAGTATATGTGTAGATTTGCCTTTTTCAACACCCCAAAAAAGAAAAACAATAATTACACAAGTATTAACAAAAACATGCAGTCTGTGAAGTATTGTCATCTAAAATGTCTGTGATTGGGGTGAAGAAGACGCCCTGCAGCCTCGTCTTCTTCAGTTTCATGGAGATGCTCCTCTATTATCACCTCCTGTCTTCCTCTCATCCATAATACATCGCAGTCACAGTTCACCGACCTGCTTTACACTCCCATCAGCCCTGCCTGCATCAGCACACTGTGTGTGTGTGTGTGTGTGTGTGTGTGTGTGGGATCATACTTTTATTACTTGCTCCACAAGAGTGTGGGTTTGTTTACACAGGCACAGTTTAGGGGGTCATCTTCCTCTCAGAGGACACTGAGGTGCGTTCACTGTTCAGTGGGAAAAGCTGGTTAAGCTTCAGGGGAGCGGATTGGTAAACTGATGTCAATGAACATTTGCTTTAATGAAACACCAGAGTCGGATCAATGTGACGCACTTCCATCTCAGGATACAGAAACATGCCGCTAAGCATTCTGGGAAATAGTTCCCACTCCTGTCTTTTTCTTCTTTCAGTTTTTTAAGTGCTAACCTAAAAACTCTAGTTTATTCAACTCCTGGAGGTTTGACAAAATTAATAAAAAGTTAACACAACTTACTGCTGTAAGTTTATCTTTCACAAACTCACATTTAGGTACAAAATCTAAAACTTGATAAATTTATTTGACTTAAAGAATAGAAAGTAGTAGACATAATTAAATACAGCTCAAATGTTTTACAGTGTAGGACCGTTTTAGGTGGGTACCTATGCATGTAAAAACCTGTTATATATCATCAGTCATGTATTAGCAGTAGTTTTGGGATGGGTATTCGTTAAGTCTTGCAGGTCAAACCACCTCCATTATTTTACCCAGTGAAAATAACCTGAGCTCTGAGCAGGTGGAGACCAACGTTGACAGGATTTTATTTACTAAACAGAGAAAATCAGAGCAATTTGAGCAACAAAAACTGGACTTGTCCCTGTGAGTGTTAAAGCAGTCCATTAAGAACCTGCTAACTGTTCCCTACCAACACCTTTTGCAGTGTTAAGCAGGGTGTGACCTCTCCGCACCTCAAGGTTTCGCCTGAGATCTTAACTAATGAAATATTCAAATGTCAACACATCTTGTCTCATTTTGTGTCTCTTCTGCAGTTGTTTTGTGAAGGAAGCAGAAAAAGTTTTAGCATGCTGATGCATTTATGTCAGCTCTGTGAAAGTAATGTGTATAAAAAAAGCTATAAATAAATAAATAAAACATTAAAGTATGAAACAGGAGAGAAAAAAACAAGTCTCAAAATAAAACAGTTTTATTTTAAATGAGCTCCATAATTTTAAGTTACAAAAAATCTACAAAAAAAAAAAACAAAAACCCAAGTCACCATACTATATTATAATATACACCAGATTCACATAATTTTAAAGGTTATATTGAAAAGTGCTATAACAGTATACATATAAAAAATACAAAAAAAATAAAATTCAGCACTTTATTACCTTGAAAAATCCTCGAATTATCATGTTTTAATTAGAGAAAATGAGTGAAAAGGTAAATATATAAATTTTGAATTGACATGTTAGGCAGTAAAAAGCACTATCTGGTAACAAACCTTATATTTAACATACTTATGAGGTAAAAGTTATTAAGCAAGCTAATGTACTCATATTTCTAGACTGTATTAAAAAAAAGTCTCATAATTCAATCATAGTAAAACTTTAACCTGACTATTAGGGAACTTTTACCAAAAGTTTAAAATATTTTGTAAATTGTTCTGAAGTAAACATTTTAACAAATTGGGTTACAGTAATGGTCACATCTGTTTAAATGAGTCGGTTTATGTTCATAAAGTAATTGTGTGGAACCAGCTGGGTGCTTGTTCATCTCCAAGCTGAGAAGCTGCAATAAACCAGATGCAGCTTCAAGGTTTCCACACAGAAACTGTAAACTGGTGGCCTCCATCACTCCCAGCGTCCCCATCATCCAGCAGGCCACAGTTTCATGTTCAGCGATAAAAAGTCAGTTCTGTCCTTTCACTTCTCGTGAGGTCGCGTCAGGAGTTTAGAAAGATTTCCATCGAATAGCCGACAGTATCGTGTGGACGAAGTAGAGCAGAGTTGTCACATACGAGAAAACCTGAAAAGAAGAAAAATAGTTCAGACAGCTCAGATTTAGTATCATCTGTAGTAAAAATATCATCGTGATGTTTTGTAGATGTTAAGCTAATTACATCGTTTCAAACAACATAAACATTCATGTAGGTGGATTGATAAAGTGTAAATCTTTTTAGCTTGTTAGTTTCCTTCAAATGGACGGATTTATTTACTTTCCACCAAGATCACTGTTGTTTATCTACAACATGTAGAGAAACTGTTTCCAGTAACAACTTAGCAGAACTTCAAAAGATCCACGCTAATCCTTTAAGCTAATGTTTATCTAGTAGATTACTGCTTCTGTGTCATCATCCAAATGCTGAAAGATTTTAAAATATAAACATCTTAGAAATGTTTATACTTTTAAAATTTAATTTTTAAAAATATATTTCACATTTTAAATTAAAATATTTAAATATTTTTCACAAATTTTCATTTTAAACAAAATGTCATTTCTAGAAAATTTTAAAAATAATTTCAGTTTTTTAAAAAAAAATCTAAATTTTTCATTTCTAGAAAATTAAAAATAAATTTTTTAAATTGTACATTTTCTGCCATGAATTACGCACTTCATTTAGCTAGCTTGTCAGCTAGCTAACAACATGAACACATAAAATAAAAGGTGAACAAGCAGGCTATGCTCCAGAATAAGTTTTTTGTATAACAGATTTTCTTTGGTCAACATTCATTCATTTTCCAAGTTAAGTTTTCCAGAAATAGTTTAATTTCGCTGATGCACCACAATGTCCTCCATAAATACAGGGTACTTACAACCGCAGAGATATCCAGCTTGTAGTCTTTAGTGAAGGGATCGGATTTGAAGTCCATGGTCACTTTAGCCAGAGCAACTGAGGCGCTGAGGTAGAAGACGACGGCAATGAGGTGATAGATAAAGTCCTGATGGAGGAAGATGGAAGAGAAGAGCACAGAATGAGAGAAATGCTTGTTATAGAAAATCAAATAAACATAAAATGTGATTATATGTTTACATTTGAGAAAGTTCATAATAAAAAAATTGAATTTATTTTTCTGTTCAAGAATCCAGATCAGCAGTTTTTAACACTTCAGACCAGCAACAGCAACACTAAGTTCAGAGTTAACCATAAATCCTCTTATGTCACCAATCTGAGGCTTTGTTTGATCTTCAGCAAGTCTGGACTTGGAGAGAAGTTTGATGTCACACCTGATTTAACGCGTTCCAGTTCACATGGTCTGACAATTCAGGATTTCAACACGGCAACGCCCAAGTAGACACTGTTCATCATCATATCGTCATAGAATACTACTGTTGATGCGAGAAGCGGCCATGTTGAAACACAATGTCGGAGTGAATATTCGACTTCCCACTGAGAAAATCCAGAAGATTTTTACAACTGGGAAGTTTCCAGATGCACACTGAACGCACCATAGACGCCTAAATGCCCTGCTGCTGAGTCATCAGGTGATTTATTGTTTGTTTTAACAAACAGTTGAACGGGTGTGCAGCATAAAGTGGCCGTTAAGTGAATGTCCTGGATTTAGACGCTGCAAAAACACAAAATCTCACCAAATATTTTTATCTGGGTTCTGCTGCAAATCTAGTAGAAATAAGACAAAACTAATTTATGAGTAACTTTACAGCAAGATATATGAGCTTGTTGTAAGGAAACAATTCTTAAATATTGATGAAAAAGTTGGCAGATTATTTTTCTTATAACAAGACATTTATCTTCAGTTAAAAGTGAAATAATCTACTATTTTTTCATCTATATTAAAAAACTATTGGCTTAAAACAAGCTGATGTATCTTGCTGAAGTTACTTGTTTAGTTTTATTTAGAGCATACTGAGGTATTTTTACTAAAATCTAGACACAAAACACTTGATAAGATTTTGTGTTTTTATGTTGAATGCAACATAAATTTTTTTAAGCTAAAGTTTCCTTTAAATTTAAACAGATGTTGGAATACTTTTATAAAATAAAACTGTTTTTAGTGTAATTTAGTACTAGAAACATCTCCAAAACATCTAGCAGCTTTTGCTGATGACTTCTCAAAAAGTAAGAATTATATTTGTACAGGTCACTGAAACAAGAGTTGTTGTTTTTTCTGCCAGTGATAACTTACTGCAGCTGCCCAGCCACTGGAGTTGCCGTGGGAACCGCAGGCGAACACCACCAACCAGATGAAGGTCATGACGAAGCAGAAGACTGAGACAAACATGACCCAGCCCTGAGGGTTGTGCGGTACCACGTACGTGCACGCCACCAGGATCCACACCAGGCCTCCGAAGATCTGCAGGCACACCGGAGAGACGTCAGACAACAATAAACACAACACTGAACACAACACTGAACACAACACTGAATGCAATGTTGAACGCAACGCTGAACGCAACACT